CTATTCACATTTTGCACTATTTTGTAAATTATTGCCCTGTTTATGCTTTCATTCACCTCTGTCAGAAAGAATTTTCCATGCCCTAATGGTACTTATTATGGTACAAACAGTTGTAATATAATTGTACATTATTGGATTATAACAAATAAGTTATTAATATTTATATTATTTTTATTATAATATTATAACATAGACAAGTAGAAAAAATTTTCTACTGTTCTTTATTAAACAACGTACATAGGCAAATAAATTCAACTTGTTGTTTAGAAAAGCTGTGTGGCGTGAGTCAATAAAACCTACAGTCGATAAATTCAAGTTTATTAAAAAAAATCGTTCGTTGAATTGAAGTGTTAATTGATTCGCAACTCCCACGTATCTATGGAAATAATTCAGTACAATTAAACTGAGACTATATCGTCAGCAAACCGTTTCTGTCCTGTGAATGAATGCAGCATTGATTTGGCACTGTTACGAACAACTGGAAAAGTGCCAGTTGAGTTGAAATGGTTATTGTTGTCTTGATATTAACAAAAATTGAATCGGTGAGTATAAAAAGGGTAAGATTTCAAAATTGGCTGAAATGAGTGACGAACATCCTTTTGTAGCCGTATCAAAGCGCTATCGAATGAGTCAAAAACGATTAAAATTACACCGTTATTTTGGGCGTAGAACCTTATTAAAAATATTGAGTGAGAACAAGACGGATAACATTCCAGACAGTTTCATACCTTGCGATAGGAACTTAACAGTGAACAAACATGTTAGAAGATTGGATAAAATTTACTCCCCCATTTTGAGGTAAGAACCGTTGATACTGACTCGATTTTGGATGTCAAGAGTTGGTGGCCTCAGTATTGCAATAAAACATCGACAGACATTGAGAAAAAAGAATCAAATTCAATATAAGCAAGTAGAGACATCTCGTATTCGAATAGTGTGCCTGTTGCGTTCAAATCTGCGAATTCATTGATCGATTAATTCAAGTTATTTTCGAATTGGCTAAAACTGCTGTTCCAGTGCAGCTACCTTCACTGCAACCTAATAAGGAAAAATACCAATCAACTACAAGAAAGTAGAAGACATCAAGAAGGTGGTCCACTATGTACCTGCAGATTTTAAACCTCGTAGAAAGGGATTTTTGAGTCGCCAACTACCAACCTTTATATACCAACCAGGATTGTGAGAGCACAACGACAATAATTAAAATGACTTTTTGCATTTTTTAAAGAAAGGTATTTCGTAAAATATATTTTTTATTAGATGAATATTTTACTTTTTCTCAACTAATGGAAGAACGATAAAATTCCAACAGATGATTTTAATATAGCTACAGATACTATGGACTTTTTTTTAACAAATCACATAATTTCCTTCAAGACTTAGAATGAAAATAAAAATGTTTTGACGAAAACTAATTTTCAGGAAGGAAATATGTTTTCTTTGTTTTTCTCAAAACTGGAAAATTGGATTCTTAATCTTTTACTCTCACCGATTCAACTATATGGTTTATGAATATATTATATTTTCAAATTCAAATTATCGATTTAAATCAGTCTATCGCTGTGAATCACATGTCACAGAGTTGACCTATAACCAAAACGAAAATTAATTAAACGTCGTGGTTTTCGTTATACAATTTTTATTGAATTGTGATGAAACCTTATCAAGCATTTCAGAGATAGCGGATAATTTCGACGGATCAACGAATTTGAAGCCTGCTTAAACAAAATAGAGATATGAAGAGATTTTTCTTAAAATATTGTCGATTTTGGATGGATACTAGGAAGGGCGGTTTGTGCAGGCTCTATAGCCTAGCTCATCGAACCTCAGATTGCCGATTTTATTGATTTTCCTTTCATCCAATCTCTTATCATTTTGAGCATTTAGGTTTTATACTCAATATATATATTTATATACTTTTTACGTTTAAAAAAATTATTTTCAATTAAAACTTGTGGGCTTGTTAGAAAATGCTGACTGACTCAAACGACACAAAATGTTCAACGGCAGCGAGGAAGGTAAAAGCCTTCTAAACTCGAGCCGTAACAATTTATGTCCAAACTTCACCGGGAGCGAACTTAAATTATAATAGCTGTTAAACTCCGGCTCAAAACAGCTTAATTTTCATAGATATAACAACATATGCTTACACGATATGTTATCCGAGGGGGCTGGGTGAGTATAATTAATGAACCCGTGTAGATGGACTTTATAAAATGAGTTTCACCTTCCTTTAAATTCAGTTTCATTTACACGAAGGACATTAAAGATCATTCACCCGAGCCCCAGATGAGTGCACAATTTTAAAATTCAATGGTTTAATAACGATTGTTTAGAAGTACGAAAATTCCCTTTTATATGCCTTCATAATTATACGAATACAAATATCCTAGCAAACAAACAATTTCATTTGTAAAATAACAAAAAATTAAATCATTAACTTCAAGCCCAAAATATAAATGTTATGAAAATGAGTCTGAATTTTACTAACAAAATCCGTTCGCAATTTTGGAAAAAGGTTCACGCGTTAAAAACTCTTCCTATAAAATTTCCAAAAAGTTAACTTCTAATGAGTGGGCAAATTATTGTAAATGGTTGTATGATATAAACTGTACAGTAACGTCTATATCCTATGCTGCGCCATTGAATAATGATGAGGGAATGCATAGAGTCTTTGAAATGTGTGAAATGCAGCAAGTTTCATATAATGCAATTAATTAAGGTTTTTAGTTGAGAAAAAAGTCGGTGACACGAGCGGGATTCGAACCCACGGCCTTCGGCTAGATACGCCGCTATTCTACCACTTGAGTTATCGTGACTTCGATCCGCTCGGACACTAACTTCCCATCTCAACCTCACCTCTCGAATTTTCGAGCTTAATTAAAAAACTTAATTAATTGAAAGATATTAATTGGTCAAGCGGACCACGAAAACTAGTGAATTTAATACGTTCAAATTAAATATACCTTCACTAAAGCTCTCCGTGGCCATTTTATTTGTCGCCGAGAATCAAATAGATTACACGACATTTGAAAACTGGCAAAACGGAGGAAAAATTCAACAGGTGGAGTTGAGATGGGAAGTTAGTGTCCGTGTGGTTCGAGGTCACGATAGCTCAAGTGGTACAGCAGCGGCGTATCTAGCCGAAGGTCGTGGGTTCGAATCCCGCTCGTGTCACTGACTTTTTATCTCAACTAAAACCTTAATTAATTGAAAGATATTAATTGGTCAAGCGGACCACGAAAACTAGTGAGTATTGTATAATGTAAAAGAAAAAAAAATCCAGGAATTGATCCAATACCGCCGTACAAGTACTATAAAATTGCTCACCAAATTTTTAGCTGAATTACTTGTCAAATTTAATCAAATTTTTGAATTAAATTATGCACATTTGCAATTTCTCCAATTTCAATCATTTTTTCTCTTTACAAGTAGGGTGATGTTAAGGATAGGCACCTCATTTAATGACACGAACAGTAAAATTCATAAAGGTTTGCACCAATCAGGCCGAGCCACTTCCTATTCTTTCCCATTGTCGGTCCCTTTTACCTCAAAGAAGCTGACTCCATATAAAAATGTTTTTATCCTCTTCTTCTCCACCCCTTCAATGTCCAACGTACATAAACATAAAACATCAAATATCTCACTGGCACTCTCAACACGACACACAAGAATGACACATCTACACAAAAAACACTCTGAGTGAGAAGAAATATTTTGATTCTAATTTCTCATTTCTAACATTGTATAAATTCATTTTTTTCTCACATCCTACATGTATTTGTATAATTTAAACAATGTTTATAAATCCCAGCCCCTGAAGATGATCTCAATAAAGACCGTAACGTTGGCACGATAAAGAAAATGTTTTTCTAAACCTACTTCACGCCAGACCGCATCTCACGATCCCGAAATAATCATCAAATAACGGTCACTAAACACCCCACATTTATAGTTAATATTTGACTGCTATTAATGAATTAAATAATAATGTTCACTTTGTCTGTTGATATGTTATTTGTTATTTATTAATGTTACATAATGTTTAACGTTATATGGCGAATAGTTTTTTGTTTTTAATTGTATATTTTTAGCTGGCAAAATTATAAGGTTAACGTTTGAAAATTCCAGGCTAAAAAGAGAAATATAAATCATTTATTTAATTGATATAACTCCCCTTTTCTTAATTTATCTTTTGTTACTAGTTATATAACTAATACTTTAATTTCTTTGAGAAGGAATCTTTTTGGATGGCATAATAAAGCCAAAAATACATTCTTTGATTACATTTGTTGCTACATTATTGCATGTATAAACAATTATTATAAGCTTAATAATAACATTAAAAATAATTCACCATGATTTCACAGATGTAATTCTTTTTATGTGAAGATCTGGTTACAAAAAAACGTACGTAAAAAGATACAAATTTCAATTTTAACTTTGTAAATGAGAGGAGTTAAAAGTTCCCAAATATTAAGATTTTTTTAAACAAACTTTTAAGTAATCATAATTATAAACTCGTGAGATTGTAACTAATCAATACATTAAATTAAAAAATGTACCCATGCTGACAAGTGACATTTTTGTAAAATTATGAATATTTGAATATCAAACTTTTTTCCTTTCAAACTTCCAAAACTTTCTAACAACTTTTATCCACACATGTAATGTAATCACTTTTTACTAATATATTACTTTTTGAATTTTCTGTTCAAAATAAATCAATGTTATATAACGACTCTATTACGTAATTGATAAAATAACAGTTTTCCTATATTAAGCCTGGGCAGGTGCGCTTGTAACTTCTAACTGCAATAAAAGCAATAACTGATTAAGTCTTTTTAATGGGATGGGCTTTGTTAGTTTGCAGCTGTTTCGAACGGGCTCAATTCGACCCTTAAACCCGGCAGTTATTCACACAGAAATAATCGTCATATTTTCCCTTCAATAGTTTTCGACGATATTCACTAACATTCTATTTCTTTCATTTGTTCCAGGTGTGGATTGTTTGAAACTGATAAGACTGACGGTACCCAAGTACAAAATGAGGGGGGAGCTAGCACTTCTCGAGTGCCTGTACGAGCTGGAGGGCGACACCCTTTACGCCGTCAAGTGGTACAAAGAGAACGAAGAATTTTACAAATATGTGCCTAAACTCAACCCTCCTAAAACTTCGTACAAAGTGGAGGGGATCAAAGTCGATGTAAGTACCTTTTCGAACACAATTACTCTATTTAGATCAAAAAAGATCAGGGGTCATTTATGAAATACTGTTTAACCAGTATGTAATCCTGAGGGTAAGAAAAGGTGGAAAAAGTGAAAATGTGGTAGAGAGAGAGAGAAAGAAAGAAGGTGAGAGAACAAACGAGAGAGTTAGAGAGAGAAAGAAAGGGAGAGGTAGAGAGAGACTGAGAGAAAGGGAGAGAGAGAGAGAGAGAAGGTTAGAGTCATAGTGGAAGAGTGGGTGATAGGTATGAGGAAGGAATAGGAAGGGAAAGGCAATGATACTTGAAGAAAACTAAGATATTTATTGAGGCAAATAAATAGATTGATAGATAGAGGTAGATAGATACATAGATAAACAGATAGGTACATAGATAGACAGATGATAGATAGGATAGATAGATGGATAGATACATAGATTGATAGAGAAAGAGAGAGAGAGAGAGAGAGAGAGAGAGAGAGAGTGAGAGACAGAGAGATAAAAAAAGGAGAGAGAGAGAGCGAAAAAAAGAATAAAATAAGGAATAGCGGCCTGAGGTAACTTGTATAATTTTCCCAAAAAAAGGTAAAACATTGAAACTAGACTAAAAAGTATTAAACACGTATTTTTCGATAGTGTCATTGGTTCAAGAGAAATTCATCTGGGCCGTCTATAAAGTACACATTTAGAAATCCCTGTATCCCTCAGGTACCGGGTCAACGATCTATCAGTATGGCTTTTCCCATTTTGATCCTTTCTCAGTGGACCAGGGGCCGATGTCTTTCTTAACATGACACAGTTTATCGGGGTTATTTCTATTTTTTACGAGCTCAGCGCTTTTCCATTCTTTTTTAACTCTATTCGAAATTAATAGATTTAGATATGCAGGTTGGGAAGTGTCGTGGGGCTTTCCGGCAGCTTCTTTGGCCGCTCTGTCTGCTTTTTCGTTCCGTGCTATAACTATGTGGCCGGGAACCCGTGCGGACACTACCTTCTTCCCAACTGCATGGAACCCTTTTAATTGTTTTTTTATCTTATTTATTAGGAGATCCACGGAGGCTCTTTTCTTGAGCGACAGCACTGAACGACTCGGTACATAACAAAAAAGAGTTGTGGTTTTTATGGTGGATCATGCTCAGCGCGAGGGATATGGCGTTTAGTTTAGTAGTGTACACGGCACACTCCATGTCCTCTGCCGTTTTGGACCCTTCTGAAGAGACGGGTCTTACATCTCTATGTTCATCTTTTAGGGCTTCAAACATGTCTTTATATGCATAATGAGGTGTCTCGTGTTTCTTTAATTTTGCCATATTCCACTGAACGTTGAAGGAGGGGGAAAACAGAGGGCCTTTGAAGTAGCTTTTCTCCCTCAACCTGGTTCAGCTCTACTCCGCGAGAAACTAATGTACCTCGACTCTAATGGGCATATCTTTCTCTGGAGTCAAAAAGAGCCTTATATGAGAAATGTCCGGCCTTGCCCATCTGGGTGCATATCAGCGTATCTTTTTAGGGCTGGGTGGAAAACTGCTGCTTCTACAAACTTCTACTACGCGGTCGACCGGGATTGTCCTAAACGCGGCTGTTACAAATCTTAAGCTTTGCGTGTATATAGTGCCTAATCTTTTCAGGCGCATTTTCTTGCCGAACCGTCTAAGGTTTCTTCTAGTTCAGCCATTTTCGCTGATAAAGTCCAGTGCTATCTGTTCTATTATGCACTTTTCTGTACAGACTTTTCGGTAAATGACCGATTGCTCGAGACATCTTCGTATTGTAGAGGAAGGCATGGGCCACTTCCTTCCGTATACTGTTGGTATTATGTTCTATTGGATCAATAATCTTCGTTCTTTAGCTCTTTTTACGTCAAAATCCTCTAAGTTGGCCGACGTGAAACTTCGCCGCCTTCGGTCCACGTACAGGGGTTCATCCCGTTTTTGGTACCAAGTAGTCGGCGGCTTGTATCACATTTTTCTGTGAGAGTGGGGTCGTCTCGTCCTCCTTCCCACTCATGCCTGAAAATTTCAGGGCGCTAGTATAAGTTTTCCAGTCGGCCTTACGAACGTTATATCTGATCGCGGGGATATAATGCGTCTTACGAATGGAAGTTTCAATGGTAATTGGCACGTGATCGCTATGATGTTCATCGTTTAACATGTTCCAGAGTGGCAAGCGGCAATGTACGCAGAGGATCTCGTGATATTCTTGTTCTTTGGCATCTGGCTTTCGCTGTCGCTTCCGATCTTTTCTTTTCTAATTCTTTTTTCTTTTTTTGGACTCCGGCTCAAATGAGCAGTGTCCTCATTAAGTCCGTGTTTCCGTTTCCATTCCTAGCAGTATCCATATATTGGGTGGTGCTGCTCTCTCCACCAACTCCAACGGTGCCGGGGGAATGATGCCAAGGTGCCCCCGACCTCACCGGGATTTGCCTTCTGGATCGCGGCAATATTCGTTGAATTTTTTCGAGCCTGTTTATTTAAGGCCAAGGGAAAATTACCCATCCTGTCCTTAGCCGATCGTGATCCGGTCACTAGAGGCGATCAGTCATCACACCTCCCCCTCTCTAAATACTGGGACGCCGGGAGTGGGAAAAGGGAAAAGATTAGAGTTTCAGAAGGGTTGTTATGGGAAAGAAAGGTAAGGTTATGGGGTGAGTAAGGGGATGGTGGTTAAGGAAGGCCACCATGTACGGGAGGGGTACTGGACGTAATTTAACTTCTTGCCGGTGAGGACCGAACAGGTTTTAATTATATTACATTTTTTATGTTGTTTTGTTGAAAATTGTAACCAAAAATTAAAAAGGAGTAACTGAGGATGTAGTAAAAATAATAAATTTTGTAATCACAGTTATATTTGAAATAAGAAAAAGCATGTTTCTTAAGTCACTACAATATAATTAAATGTTATTAATCTTTTTATGTAAGATGTTGGTTGAAATGAAAACGTTAGTACCACGGGCGGGATTCGAACCCTCGATCTTCGGATATATACGCCGCTGCTCTACCACTGAGCTAAGGTGACTTCCATTTCAACCAACATCTTACATTAAAAAAATTAATTAATTGAAAGAAGTAATTTGGTCAATAGACCACTAAATATAATGGATATAATTAAATATAAATAAACTGATTTAACTAAACGTCTTTACACACTGCGAATGGATTCGTTTACCCGGATGCGTGGAATAACAGAAAAACCAATTTGATTTGAACATTAGCGGCCGGTTCCCATGCAAAGATCTAAATTGTGGGGCCTTGTTAATACCGTCGGACAGTGCCTGTGGGGCACAAACTCCGTTTTCTAGTATCCATCATCATCATCAATCCCGCCGGAAGGGCAAAATCAATTCCATCGCTGCGAATCGTTATATTAACATTGAATCAAAGGACGGCGGTCTATTTGTGATTCAATAAACAAATTGCCTCACTGGTCGAGCCGGTGTATGATAAATTTACAAAACCCTTTCCGGACGTGAAATACCTACATAAATCCCTATCATCTTTAGTTACATTTTCCCAAGCTGCTGTCAGTTGAGAAGTCATAAAAAATATATAAGTAATAATGGACGTCTTTATGACGGGAAATAATGTTACTGCGTCTCATTAATTTTTGAATAAATCTTAATCGCGAGAAATGTTGCAATTCGCTACAACATTGTAGTAAAGATAAGTCATTTTGAAATCTAAATTATTCTCATCCCCATGAATTCCTCACTATTTTAACAGGGTTTTGGTATAGAAGACCTTTGCCTTTATTTCAACAGGCAAGATAATTATAATAATTGGTCATTAAATCTTGTCATGTTTACAAAAAAGTCTCCCTATGTAATTTTTCCCGCTGTTTTTATTACAAGCTTAAAATAATCATATTGACGCTTAGCTTAGTGCATTTCTTTAAAATTGTGAAATAATCCAACGTAAACATACTCGCATTAATTATATTTACACCAAATTTCTAAAAGGTATAATTAGTTTGACGTGTTTTAGTAAAATACTAAACTTAAATAGGTTTTCTACATAGGTGCAAAATTTTAAATTAAATTTTTATATATGTGAGCGCGCCTCTTCTGTTTTGGGCCCAACCCTGAATTCGGAGAACCGGAAACAAGGTCCCAGAAGATTTTATGATCGGACCTGACTACAATTATTTTAATTTATTGATCAGGCACCTTTTTTGATATATGAAATTCCAATATCCAATTCAAACCAAAATAAATACGAGACCAAATATTAATTAAATTTAAATCTTTAATTAAAATTTATTTTCAAATAAGATTACAATTTATTTTATTATTTTTAATTTAAAGAATCTTTTATTCTATAATAAAACATGAAATATTGTATAAACACAGTATTATATCAAATAAGGCCTTTTAAAAGATTAATTAGTAGAAACACTTCTCCAAAAATATTTTTTACTCTCATTGAACCGTAAACAATTATTTTTGTCTTGTACTATTGAACTGTCAACACTGGATGATGAATTACAGCAGGATTTGCATGTAATACGTGTCGGAGTGTTATCAAAACAATTACGGATAACAGTGCTTTTAAATACCTCGAACGGGTCGTGCCTAAGGCTAGGGTAAACAGCAGAAGAGTTCCACTTGATGGACCGTACATCTATGTACACGACCGAGCTGTATGCATCTGTAAAGGATTAATCATACTTCATGTGTACTGACTACGTGTGGGTTCTAAAGGACAGATTCTCGTTGTATCCACTCGTCGTGACTGTTTTTCAAAGACACGTTGAACTGATGCGTCTCGGAAAAACGGTAGTAGTTGTCAGCCCACGTACATACGCCTAGGTGGACGGTAACGAACTTACGAACTAGGCGGCAAAAGCCGGGATTGCCCATACCCCCGATCTTAATAAAATAATGGGATCTGCAAGTGCTAAACCAGCTATAAAGAATATGTTAATGAGAGGGTATATCAAAAGTCCATGTGCCTACAAAGATTCGACATGTTGGGCCAACGCGCTTATATGTCAGGCGTGCAGAA